TTTAGTCTATTAGTATTCTGTGGTTTTGGTTACCTTGGGTGTTTGTATTCTTTTGTTCATGTTCCTATGTTCTGTGTCCCCCAGTCTGTGTTAAGTTGGTGTGTTATGTCATTGCGTGTATGTGTTTCCTGTTTTATTGTGAAGGTCTGCGTCTTATGTGAGTGTTTTCAGTTTGCCTCCCTAGTCTCGTCATGATAATCACTCCCAGCTGTGTTCTCCACCTGCGTGTAATCTCCCTGTGTTCTCTGGGTGTATTTAAGTTGTGTCTTCTGTCATGGTAGTTGCTGGTTCGTCTGCGTTATTTTCCTCGCCGCCATTCTGTGTTTATTCCTCCAGCTTCCTGGTCATTCTCCCTGCAAGGTACCCTCGTTAGTGTTCTGGTTTCGTGTTTAGTTTAGTTTTCCCAGTTTAGAGTTATTACCGTTCTGTTTCTCGCCACCCCTTTTGTTGTTCTTATCCGGTTGTAAATAAAGCTCATCCTCCACTTAAGCAGTCTGCATTTTGGGTCCTATTTCATATTCCACACGGCTTGCCCCGGCAAACCGTGACATTTCTACCATTTTCCATTCTTTAGTAATCAGCTGTAGAAGAGAGGTGGGTTCCACCAAAAATGCCTGTTTTGACCAAAAAAAGGGAGAAAATAAGCTTTTTGTGAAAAATACCTTTCAAGCAGAAAAGTGCCTTTGACACTAATATTTCTTGCTTTGTGACACCTCTAACATATAAAATAGTTTTTCACTTCTATAAAACAGAAATAACACTGAGAAAGGTTATGTTTTATCAAAACAATTTATTTACAAATATATGAAAAAATAAAATGTACATAGTGAAACATTTATTCACAATGAATAATTCACTTTTGTGTGGTAATCATTATAACACTTTCCGGGATGCAAGGGCACACAACAAGACTTGCACCACATTTTTGTCTCACTGCGCAATCCCTTACGTGCGCAAACCCTGCACCTCCTTGCAGGTCTACTTTTACTGCTGATGGGCTTCAGTTTTTCAAGTTGGTGCCTGCCTAGGTCACCGTCTAGCCTGCTATCAGGGTCGGTGTTGTAAGGTGCCCTTGGGGTTTTTCTGCCTTTCCAGTCACCTTCCCCTTCAAATCCCACACCTGCCCCCTCCCCTAGAAGGTTGTATTCTAGCCCCTCCCATTGAAAAACGTAATTGACGTCTATAGACGTCAATGGCAGTCAACGTAAGTTTTTCAATTGACGTCTATAGACGTCAATGGCAGTGAATGAGTTAAAAAGAGGCCTGTGTTGAGCTGGAAGGCTCAGGTTGATCAGGGTCAACTGGCCTCCTATACCACCGGAGTGAAGGTGTAATTTGGCAAGCCTTGGATTGCTTTGGAGCGCTTTGAGTGCTCAGAGTAGAAAACCACCATATAGGAACCAGTCCATCTGCCATTCGCAGATATGGGCAGAGAAGCTGCCTCTGGCTAGGAGACGTGGCCGTCTTGAAACAAGTATTTATAATCTTGATGGCCGAATTACATGAAAACTTGTTTTAAACAGGTGAGAGGGAATGATGTCAAACAGATGGCACCTCCAACAACTTGCCTCACACATTATTGGATCTGAGCATCCTTAGAAAGTAAAGTCTGCTCATCCTCATCTTGTACAGCGTCTTGTACACTGTTGGTTCCTCCAGTCAGGTGAAGTACCTGTAGCCGCCCCCATTTTCCAACTCTTCACCCGCCATGTTGATGGGCCTAGTTGCAGTGTTTTTTTCCTCCGAAAGTCAGCCAACATGTCATTTGTGTTGCTGAAATTCAGAAGGAGGTGATTTCTTCTTTCTTCTTAATACATCCAACCACTGCAGTGTCATAAGAGAACTTCTGCAGGTGGCATGTTTCAGTCTTGTAATGGAAATTTGAGGTGGACAGGAATGGAGACAGGACTGTCCCCTGTGGTGCCCTAGTATTACTAACCACCACATCAAACAGTGGTACAAATTAAGGGCTCTCTGACAGATAGTCAGCAATCCAGGAGACAATAGAAGTGGTGAGGCCCATCCTGAGCAGCTTATTATTTAGCAGAAGTGGGTGGATGGTATTAAAGGCACTGGAAAAAAAAACATGGTTCTAAAAATGCCACCAGTACCATCCTGTTAAGAGTGAGCATGCTGAAAGAGGTAGATAATCACCTCCACAAGAGGGTGGTACGCAAACTGAAAGGGGTCAGGGGATGTTTCACCTGCAAGATATGATGGGCAAGAACCACTCTCTAGCACCTTCATGACATGTGACATCAAGGCATCTGGTCTGAAGTCATTAAGGCCAGAAGGAATGGCTTTCTTCGGTACCAGTACTAAACATAATGTCTTCCATAGTATAATGTCTTCACCTTTTACAGCAACAAACTTAGGTTGAAGAGATACTGCAGGGGGCAGATGGTTGGGCATCACAGGACTTCAGGACCCTGGAATTGATGCAGCCAAGGGCCTGGAGCTTTAATTTTAAACCCCTTTTCCATTAGTACCTACTCGGATCGACTTGCCACGGTTCGCCACAGTTTTCAGGGTTTTCCATTAGGTGATACTGTAATAATACCTGGTACCAGATACTAAAATAGTATGTGCTCAGAAGGGGTTCTAAAGCAATCTGAAGAGGTACTAAAATGCATGGCACCAATTGGCCGGTCAGTGGCATCACTCAATGAGTTATGAGAGCGTCTTATTCGCCAAAATCAAAACTGCTATTTTTTAAACCCGGCATCAAGGGAGATGGCATAAAGGGGGCAAATACTCTTTCACAGCACTGCATGCTTGCCCGTATGGTGCTTTTGCCTATGGCCATTTGGGACCCTTGTGCTCCTGAATACATCTGTTATACAAATGTCAGAGGATGTGATGTCACTTTGTCATCCAGTTAATGAGGGCGAGAAACAGTGAGCATTAACCGGCCCTAACCTTCTCTCTTTCTCCCAGTATGGACAGAGATGGGACTATGACTATTGACTGGAATGAATGGCGTGATCACTTCCTGTTCAACCCTTTGCACAACATGGAGGAAATTGTCCACCACTGGAAGCACTCCCATGTAGGAGTGTTTTTTTTTGTTTTGTTTTTCACTTTTAAATGTTATAAATGATTATAAATGATTAATAAATGTTAACATCCTGACAGTATTTATATTGTCATGCTAATGGGTTATTAGGATGAAAATATTTGGTAGTATTTGGCAAAACATAATCAAGTTGAACTGTGAACTACACTGTTTTCATTCATACCTCATATAGATGTAGATTATGTAACAGTTAGCATGTGTTGGCAAGATGCAGTGGCGAAGAACGAGCAAACACAAACACAGTTTCTATCTTTCTAATGTTGTTTTAGATGTTTGACATCGGGGAACACCTGACAGTGCCTGATGAGTTTTCAGAGCGGGAGCGGCAATCAGGTTTGGTATGGAGGCAGCTGGTTGCTGGAGCCATGGCAGGGGCAGTGTCCCGGACAGGAACTGCTCCACTGGACCGTCTCAAGGTCTTCCTGCAAGTGGGTATTCACATTGTCCTGCCACTGATACACACATTTAGTTTACTATATAATGACCTGAAAAGAGCCAGAGACATTAGTCGACTTAATGCTCTGTGTAATTTCCAGTGATTGTTGTTATTGCTACACCCAGTCCTTAACGGACACATATTGTGAAACTCCACCTCTGTGAAGAGGTTTTTTTCCAAAGTATGAGTTTTGAACATTTGAAGCCTTCTTATAGCCTCTTCAGCAACAAGATTACCTTCCAGCTTTACAGCAATTACTTCCCCGTCTTTGTATGTGCATTCTGAGTAGATGCTTCCATGTGGTTGTTCACACAAAACTAAAACAAAGACAGATGCCAACAGGTAAGAAGGAAGAAAAACATTAATAAACATTGAGAAAAAACCACTAGATCAGGGCTGCCCAATCCCAGTCCTCGAGAGCTACTATCCTGCAGCTTTTACATGCATCCCTACTCCAACACAGCTGAATCAAATGGTTTGATTACCTCTTCAGCATGCCATCATGTTTGGCAAAGGCCTGATAACAAGCCATTCATTTGATTCAGGTGTGTGGGAACAAGGATGCATCTAAAAGCTGCAGGACGGTAGCTCTCGAGGACCGGGATTGGGCACCCCTGCACTAGATGATCCATTAGAAGTTCAAAAGACCAAAATACGATACAGCGAAGGTGCAAAGGAGTGTTCTTTGGACAGGTTGATCCATATGAACACCAAGATTGGTCACTTTTGTCATTGGCTGTGTGTGGCAGGCAGGAATGGAGGACCCAAATACAGTCTCTCTGAGGCGAAAAGTGAACTCCAAAACAGCTTTATTGCTGGACGCAAGGAAAACTAACTAAACTGAGGAGTACAAAATAACCTAGACAGACAGAACACACAGGAGGACAGAAGAAACAAAGGGCTTAAATACACGGGGAACACAGCTGGGGCTAACATCACACAACGAGACAGGACACAAAGCTGAACATAACACGTGAGACGAGGAACCTTCAAAGTAAGTGAAGCAAAACCGAACATGGCCCATATGGAAGTAATGGGAACACAAACTGACATACACACACAGACGAGACCAGAAAATAACAGACGTGAAAACACAAGTGAGACAACGAGACACAAGAACACAGGGAAGGCACCATAAAAAAACTGAGAACTACACATCAGGGATACTAAATATAACTAGGGGAGCTAGAAATACAAAACTAAATAATAGAAACACTAAATCAAAGAACGTAGATGAACAAAACCGTTTTCAGAAGCCACTGGGCAACTGTGGGTGCTTCTGACTTGAACCAGTAAATTTTTATCATTTTTCTTGCAGTCATGAGGAGGAAATTTAGGAGAAAGTGCTGCTCATAGGAGAAACCATCAGGAAAGATATCCAAAAAAAGATCAGAGTATCTATTGGGAAGTTGACTGACAATATGTTTTGCATAATGTTCTTAACATCCATCCAGCTCTGTTGTATGCAAACACAGTCCCAAAAGAGATGCGTCTGGTCCCCCCAAACCCCACAATTTCTCCAACACTTATCACCAGAGATGGGCAGTAAAAAAATTGAAAAAAGTAAGGGATTACTATTGCAAAAAAGTAATTAGATTACTGTTACTTTCCTGTAAGCACGCTGTGTTACTGCGTTACTAAAACCGTGATTTTTTTTGTGAGAGTGTCTCATGACAATGACGTAAGCGAGTGCAATGTTCGTTGCAACAGCTGTGTGCAGATCAACAATGGATAATATATAGAGTGCGGGAGAGCGTATGACCGTGCAGCGTTTAACGCGTGGAAATACTGACCTTACTTTGAGTTTGATTCCGTAAAAAGTGACAAAAACATTAGCGTCCACTGTTCACTGCGTGGGAAGAAAACTTATTTTTACAGCAAAAAAACCCCCTAAACTTCAGAGCAAGCACCGAGTATGCTGCCACGGGAATGTGAAATTCACAGAGAAACTCACAGATTCTTCCACTGACCGCTGCGGCACACCTGCACCAGGGCAAACCTCCGCCTGCCGCACTCCTGCTAAACAGGTGAAAATAGAGCAACAGGACCGCTGAGTCTTTGATTTTATTTATTTTCTGCTGTGTTTCACTTGCATCTATTTGAAAGACTGAGTGTAAACACAAAAAAATATTTTATTTTATATGCTGGAATGTGCAGAAATAGGTTTAAATGTTAAAAAAATTTCTTCCAGTCAGAGAATGTTGTGTATAATTAAATTTTTGCTTGATGCATAAAGTTAAAAGATTAAAACTAATAAAACAAGTTTTAAAAAGAGACTTTCCATTTGATTACATTTTGTATGATGGATTATGCAGAAAAAGTAGAATTGGGCTGAAAGATCTATTGCTTTATTACCTATTAAGGTTGCAAATCATGTTTTTTAAAAGTTACTAAGTAACTAATTACTTTTGGAAAAAGTAATCAGTAAAGTAACGGGATTACTTTTGGGGTAATCAGTAATTAGTTACTGATTACTTTTTTCAAGTAACTTGACCAACACTGCTTATCACTGACACTACTTTTGCAACGAAAGGTTTTCAGTGGAGTTCTAAAATCTTAATTTAACCTTTCTCCGCCCACCTCTCAAAACTCAGATCTGACAATGATGGAAGGAACTCAACATTTCCATTTACAGGAACAGCTTGAGACATGGTTGAGTCTGACCCTTGGTTGTGTAATCTGCCAGATAAATTTAGATGTAATGCTTTCTAATAATTTGAATGCAGACTGTGGGATCAAAATGGGTAGGTTCTGAAATAGGAATAATAGGCATGGAAGAATATTCATCCTTATACATTCAATCCTCCCCATAAGAGTGAGTGGGAGTAGGTTCCATCTGTCCAAGTCCCTCCTTGAATAACCAATCATAATTGAGCACAAGTAACTGATTGGTTTTAGGAGTAATAATTATCCCCCAAGTATCTGAAACCCTGTTTAGAGTGTCTAAAAGATACAAGATGATCTAGCTGTGTGGGCCAGTTCCCAACAATCATTAATGTTGCGTCTGTGTTTCCACATGCCCCGCTAGTTTAGAGACTTATTCCTCATGAAGAACACAAGACATAACAGAACATCTTCAACCGGTCTTTAACTTGCTAACGAGGGAAGCCTTGGTCAGAACGAGGCGGTGGAGCAATGCTCCTCTCCTTTCTCTAGCCCAAATCCTCTGTGAGCAACACAAGGTGGTGAATAACACACCCTTGGTAAATTCAAAAACCCAGAAAAATTGGCTGGCGTGGGTGGTCAGGATCAAAGGAATGGCTTTGATCCTACTGCTTGAACTAAGACTTTACAAATTTAAGAACCACAATGACAACATTCAACAATTTGACTTAACAATTAACGCCTCAGATTTGTTTGTATTTATTTTATAACCTGACACTGTACCATAATCTTTAAGATTGCTCAGAAGGGCTGGGACAGAGGTGACCAGATTCTCTAAAAATAGCAAAATATCATCTGTGAAAAGTGACAGCTTATATTGTGTATTGGTTTCATTTCTAATTCCTTGTATGGGAGGGTTGGATCTGATCAGTTCAGCTAACGGTTCAATACTGAGAGCAAATAAGGACGGCGCTAACATTTCACCCTGTCTAGTGCAGTGGCCTAGAGAGAAGAAGTCAGTGGCCATTAACCCTTACCCGAGACTTGGGATTTTTATATAATGTTTGGACCCATGAAATAAAAGTGACATTGATGAAGTCTTTTTCAATTACATGTTTCAGCTTATATTATTGAATCTCATAGCACTGCATACACACTTATAAAAGGTGAAGTTTTACTTGATATTTAATATTGCATTGTAATAATGTACTCACTGTTATGGTTCTGGGCATTTTTGAGGGGCACTTCTAAGTTCTGTTGACTACTGGTTATCTGATTTTTTTCCTTAGTTTGCCCTTGTGTTTTGCAGCTTTGTGCATTTATTCCACTTACTTCTATGCTCCTGATGTTCCCTTAACAAGTTCTTCCTGTTTCATTTTTTAATATCCTATCTAATCTAATGTATGTTGCATTTGGGTTTGTTATCTATTTTTCCTAATTAGTTGCAGTTCCCTGGTGTTCCCATCTCCCTAATTACCTTGTGTGTGTTTATAGCCCTCGTCTTCTATAGTTTATTATATATTTATCATCCTGTTTATTGTTTCCTGTGTTCACCTTAGTTTCCTAGCTCCCAGTATTTTCCCAGCATTGTTTTATGGATTCTGGTTCTGGTTCAATAAAAGATTTAACCATATCACACCACATTGCTGCTCACTTCTGCCTGTGTGCTTTGCAGAGTGTCATAGCCTCCTGCTCATCCCATTCATCCTGCTATAGATAGGCTTAAGCTGCTGTTGGACAGTTGCTTGTGTTAAGAAACTGAAGACACTTTTAGTCAAAGCCACCAGACTCCACTGGAAAAAATGACAATTTTACCTGCGATGCAAATAACCTGTTGTTGCCTCGATCATTTTTTGGGTGACTGATGTTTTAAGACAGTAATTCTAAAATCGACTATGTTAAACAGTCACACAGTAACCTTGTGTCCTCCAAGATAAAGTTAGAGTTTGGTTTCATTTTTGTTCCTGTAAGTTGAATCTGGTGGGTTTAAGAGAAATACCTCTCCGTCAATCACAGGGCTCTTCCTGAAAGACAGAGATGCAGAAATTCTAATTTGATTTAGAAAAAGAGGACCAAACTAGGGTTTAACATTAATAGTACAAAAAATGATCTGTGTGGTATTTTGGGCTGAAACTTTAAATATACAGTAATTAGTGGAAACACAACAAATATAACTGCACATTTACGCCGACATCATCCTAGTGCAAAGACAAGTGGCAGCAGACAAAAACAACAAGCACGCATGCTACAAACTTTACCCAAGTTATTTAGACAGCCGTTAGCACATGATTCTTCTTATGGGGACCTGATATGTTTAATATGCTGCTGAGAATATAGCCCAGAAGAAGCGTATAGTATAGCTTTTATTTTGGAAAGAG